CCCGCGGCTGCCCTCTGCCGGCCGAAGACGGCGCGTCCCCGCCCGCGTGCTGCACGCGCTCTTCTGACACTTGCTCCACTTCGGCCCAGACTGACATTGAACCCGGGGGCCTTGGGCACGCTTATTTATACGCGTGGTGAGACACTGGCTCGGCACATGTGTGCAGAAACGGGGGTGGGGGGAGGGGAAGAGAGGGACGAGAGAAGGAGGGAGGGAGGGAAGGAGGGAGGAGGGGAGTGAAAGAGAGAGACAGAGAGAGGGATGAGCCTAAGCCAGCCAGCGAGTTGCGTTCAGACACCCTCCAACCCGCGGAGACGTCGTCTGGACGCCTGTTTGAATGTCACAGATGGAGAAAAGGGGGACTGGCTCACCCTCCATGCTGAACACCATCTGAACGCAAGAAAGCAACGCTTGACAGTGGAAAACACAAGTGTTAGGAATAGCTCTGCGTGTGTGCGTGCGCGTGTGCGTGTGTGTGTGTAAGGAGAGAGAGAAGACACGCACGCTGAGCGTGCTGAAAAGAAATAGGCAGGGTGAGAGCAACGAGATCTCTGTAACCCTGGGTAATCAGCTGCTCCTTGGGGCTTTTCAGATTAAGGCTCAGCACCTAGGGACAGGCTGCTGACCTCTTTCCATTATCCTTGTTTATTCTCCTCCTTAAGCGGAGGAGCGGATTTCTATCTTGCCAACGGCCGCTCACATCAACACTCATGTCAGCAGGTCTATCAGCCAGTCCACCAACTGGGGTGGGGGTGGGGATGGGGGGGGATGAGAAGGCTTCGCCCTGAACTGACCTAGCTTTTTCCAGATTAGTTATATAATCAATTAAACAGACAAAGTGGCAGGTGTGCTGGTCAGCCTTCATTGACACATGATAGGAAGTGGAGAGGAATGCAATCATCATTTGGGAGAGGCGTCGTCTCCAGTAGATCTTACAACAGGCCACTGCTGCTGAGGAGAGCAGTTTCAGCTTCCCCTTCCTCCCTGGGCACCTCCCGAACCCAGTGGATTAGCTGAAAGAAGCAGAATGTGCTGCCAGCTTCACCAGTCACACAGCAGGGCAGCTCGGGAGTCTGAAGAGCTCCAAGTCTCATCAATGTCCCAACACATCTGTTCCAGATACAAGCATGGCCTCGCTACCCAGGGAAATCCTGCCCGGGCCAAGGCCCCAGTCCTCTGCTTTCCTGACAGCTGTAGGCATGCTTTCTGGGGAGAGGGGACAGGCAGTTCAGGGTGGGAATGGTCAGGCCAGCAACCTGAAACATAGCAATCAAAGATATTCTAATCAGGCAAAAGGGAAGGCAGCCAGAGAACCGAATGGATGTGTCCATGAGGGGATTCACAGTGGCTGAGAACAGGGCAGAGAGAAGCAGAAACAAGTCTGTTAAGCCAAGACTTCCTTTACCTCACTGTTTACCATAGCCTGAAGTTACAGCTCCTTTCGAAGTGGGCTATGTCCTGAGTTAAACATCATCTATTCTCAGCTAATAGAAATCTAGAAGCCCAAGATAAAGTCTAGATGACAAAACATGAAGGGAAAGAAACTGGGAGCCTAACATAGCATCAGAGAGAGCTCTGATCTCCAATGGTATAGAGACCTTGGAAATTCAAGAGGTCAGGTGAGGATGCCAAGGGCAGAAAGAGAACACAGGAATGAATATCAACAAGCATTGCCTAAAGCACACTTCTGCCTCCAAAAACCCCAAATAGGAAAAGATTTCTCTACCTCTCTTCCACTCTACAAGCTTCCCCAACCCCTCTGTCTTCAGTCATGGGTGTGAAATGTACATTTTAACATAACTCTCAAATTTTAAAATAATGCAAAGCTATACGGTGTAAAAATGTTATGCTGACTAAGATTAAGTTTCTTCCTTTCTTCCTTCCTTTCAAACCAATTCATTTTGTTCTTCAAGCTTAACCATGATCATGACCAGGTAGTTATTTTATTCCATTTTACTGTGTTTCAGTGTCTGTACCAAATATGATAAGAGTACTGAAAAACAGGATTGCAAAATAAAACTAAGGAATGTCTTCAAAGGACCACAATTCATTAAAATATGATAAGAGTACTGAAAAACAGGATTGCAAAATAAAACTAAGGAATGTCTTCAAAGGACCACAATTCATTAATTGTTCTAAGTATAGCTTTTAAGGGCTTATTTTCTTCATTAGAAAACTCAAAACTACATTATTTTTAAAATCTAAAAATGTATGCATTGTATCCATTTGTTGATTGAATGTTGTCAGCCATATAAAAAGTCAAGTTCATCACTTCATGTTGCTGACTGGTTAGTATGTGGAGTTTCATGAACAGCTTCCCTAGGAAGGGGAAACTTGCTGAAAATTAGGGTAATTAAACAATGAAAGCAATGATGGGCAAATAAAGAATGAAAAGATCATAGACAACGAGCATATTTCTATGTCTCTTCATCAGTAAACTGCCTTAGACTAAAGTCTACTGAACTAAGTGAGGATGTTTCCTTCAACATCATCCTAGAAACAAGACTACTACCATATTTGATGTATTAATTAGATTTCCATGTCAAAATGCCTTGCATTTTAAAGGAATCTGGTTTCTAAGAAGTTGGAAGCAAATATCAATTATGAATTTATTTCAAGAGAATATCTCATCAAGAAGTGTAATGACTGTGACTGCTATTTAGTATACACAAGAATTGTACATCTTCTCAAATGTTCCCTGTCTCCTTTAATACTCTGCTTAAGATCAAATTGCAGACAGCAGCAGAAGATTAATATGAATCTAAAATAAAATCTCCATGCAGCAGATGCAAGCTCATGTGAAATGAGACAAAAAGATAGATGGGTGACTTGAAATTTGACAGCTTATTGAAAAACTCCCAGTGGAACTTAGAGGTTTAAGGGATAAAATGGTTCAGCTTTCCTCTTAGGATAGAGGAGTATGTTGAAACACATATTTCATATGAAAAGAAACAAAGTTAGAAGATCTGTCTTCATTAAAGAAGTAATGGTAAAGAACAGTGAAAAATAGCTTGAAAAATGTAGCCTCAGAGCCCATCTATGCATCTTGTGAACAGGCAAATTTCATGATCTGGAAAGTAACTGCTAACATAAGGCTAATTCTGAAACTCTAGGCCTATCCAAATCAGAATAAGATACTTAGATCCAGCATTTTTGTAATACCTGATATGTTAAATTGATAATATCATCTTCCCCCTTTCCCTAAAGAAACACCATCATCACAAGTAATAGAATTTGGAAAGTTTTGTTATTTGCTTTGTACACCTGTTACTATTTCCATAAACATCAGCAGCAACTATAAGGATGTCATAATGATTCCTTCACAATCACAGCTAACAGTGAAAACAACACAGTAACAAACGTAGCCTAAAACACATCAATGTTTTAAGTAAACAAACAGATACATTTGAATAAGTTAGATTATATTGCTCATGCATAATGAACAGATTTGTTATTATAAAGGTGGTAATTCTAAATTGAATTGTAAGTTTAGAGGAAAATTGGATGCCTTGTATTATTTTTCCTTGTACAACAAACATGACAAAATGAGTTTTTAGGTTCATTTGAGACAAATACAATGATGTAACTATGCCTGTGTAGGAAGATCATGGTCTGATGCCAGTTGGGAAAAAGCATAAGATCCTATCTGAAACAAAACCAAAGCAAAAAAGTGTTCGAGGGCATGGCTCAAGCAGGCTTGAGGCCCTGATTTCAAACCTGAACATGAAAAAAAAGTTTCATTTGGCTTAATAGGCTATCTTAGTAAATTATAATTTAAAAATTAAACTAGGTGTTTGAGTTACATAAGGTAGTACTGAACACAGAACAGACTGAAGTAGCATAAACCAGAACAGACTGAACAATTAGCAACAACTTAAAGATGCTATTTCAAATTAACAAAGTAAGGATTTGTTGAGCAAGGAATTGTACTACATGGGTGCTTCTCAAAGTGAATTTAGTATGATTTAGTATTACAATGCAAATATTAAAGCTAGGATAGATAAAAGTGTACATAAATGTTTGTAAACGAAAAAGCTAGGAAGTACTTCCAAGTCATGATAGCAAAAGAAATTAGAAACCATAAAGAGCAATATATATAAGTATATATGTATCTTTGTATAGACATATATGTACTATATATGAGCATCTATGTACAATATGTATATATATATACATATGTATATATATATTTATATGCACAAACAGGTTCCATATGTATGTATGTATGTATGTATGTATAAGTACATAAAGACAAATATCAAAAGGAAAATGTCAAGGTATATAAAAATGATCTTTAACATACGAAGAGCTATTTACATGTTTAATACTCTTTATGAAATAGTTACATATATATTTCATGTATATAAATTTTATTACCAAACAATTTGCTTTTGCAGGTGTAATATGAAAAGCTGTTAATAGTTTGAGGTCTTAAGTAAGAAGGTTTTT